ATCCTTATTAAGGATACCTGAAGTTAGGATATCTAATGAAAATCCATTCCTTAAGTGGAAGAGGCAGCTAATTTGCAAAGCCTCCAAAGGAAGATCCTATCTGCCTAATCTTAAAACACTTCAAACACAGTAAAATATTTTATCAATCTGTGATATGTGTCTAACAGCAGCAAACAAGATAGAAACAGTCCAAAGTATATAAAAAACAAAATTTTAGCAATTGTTTCCATCATGAATAGGCAAGGTAACACTGATTGTATATGTAAATGATAAATAACTTCCATGTGTTACTCCATGCTGCAAATTGGAAAAGTAGTTTCTAAGAAACCTCTAATACTGATAAAATACTACTACTACTGCTCAGAATTTCTTTCTAGTACCCAACTAATACTGCCCGGACATATTACATGAACCCCAGACTTCAGAGAAGCTGGCAGAGATAATTGGAAAGTAATGAGGACTCAATTTTAAGTTGAATCTAAAATTGAGCTCTCAGCCTTTAAGGCTGGAGACTATAGGCCATATAGTCCCATACCAGTCACATACAACACAGATAATCATCAAAATACTGAGCAATCTTCTTAATCCATGAGAAATCCTCCAATTTTGTTTTCCTTCAGGCTGCTGATTCTTCTGCCCCCGACATTCACAGGGAAACCAAAACCAGTAGGAGTCTTAAACTGCTTTAACTGACAACTTTAATTTACAAAACAAAATGGCTTTTACTATGCTAGCACAATGCTAAATTGGTTCCGCTACATTTTTGTGGCACAGCCCCATTTACCTCAAACCATTCTAACCAAAGCGAGCAACCACACTGTGACTAGATGGGCACTGGGCAGGAAACCCGTATGGGACACAGGCATTAGTAACTGCATTTTCAACTGCAACTTTGACTATGATCAGGGGAATCACAAAGTGGGGCAAAATTTGAGATCAGGGATCTTTACCCTCCTGATGAGGGGAAGCTCAGTAACATTTAACCTGACTGTAACATCCATGATCAATATTAAATAACCATTTTGAGCATGGAAGTGGCTCCAACAGCCACTAGGTTGTAATCATCAACCAGACTGTCAGAAAAGTCCTTTAATTTCAATGCCACATGTAAACTGGTAAGTCAAAAAGAAACATATCAAGAAAAAAAAAAAGGCAAGTTTGTTCTGTAAGTGTGAAAAAAACCTTACATAGCTCCACCTTGTAAAATTGTGTGCAAGGAAAAGAAAATTCATGTCGGCAAAAACGCAGAGCAGTATCTGAATATAAACTGAGGATTTCAAAAAGCACAGGCCCACGTAATTTCCACACGAGAAGCTTCAAGGAAATAACTGAGGAACTCCCTGAAACACAAATGTTGTTTTTAAATAATCTTAGGAAATTCTAAAGATCAAAGGATTCTCAACATTAATATTTAAAAAAAAATGCAAAAAGGGAACATTCAGGAACTATGGCATAATTAGCTTGGCTTGGGTCCTGGGCAAAGTAATGCAGCAACAATGGGAAAGATGGAGGCTAAAAATACCCCGGCAGGCAGGCAGGGTCATCAGAGGAGAACCCGAGCGAAGCTTCTGCACCAACAGGGTGATCAGCAGCACAGACTTCACCCCTGCTGCTCGGAAAGGCCTTTTTCTCTTGGCAGATCAGCCGGCTGGCGAAACGGGGCCACATCAAACTCACGGTGACGTTACCCCATGACTCCTGGGGAGCTTCTGGAACAGTCTCCGTTTTGATTCACAGCTGGGCAGGGAGGAAACAGCAAATTCGGTAAATGTGTTCCTTTTGCCTTCCAGGGCAGGTCGGTGGACATCTGAACAGAAATCTAACAACAGCCACCTTTTAATATTCGCAACTATAGTCAACTTTCTTCTATCCTTAAAAAACAAAACAAAGGAAAAAGATGACACAATTCTTAATAAATTCTAGGGAGAAAAGAGTTATTTTAACGTTGGGGGAGCTAATTGAATAAGGGAACTTCACTGAAGTCACACATCTTGTTTCTTCACAAGTCCACTTATCTGTGGATCACAAAGGGAGACTATTCCAGAAGCTTTTCAAAAGAACATGATCTGAAACATATTTATGAGACTACCCCTGTCTTGACACACACACAGCACACATTCCAAAATGACGTGTTTGTTATCTTCCATACTTTGGTAAATCATGTTGCCCAACACCCATGGGAGTGACCTGCTTACCTATATATACACATACGCACACAAACACACATACATTATAGGTATTAAGAACATGAGAACCAAAACCAAACATTATTTATGGACATAAATCTTCTAAGGGTAAAAACACACCATAAAAAGCAATGGAAGTTACAGGTAAACTTAAAGTTGGTTCTGCTTTGCTATCTAAAGACAAAGATGAAATAATTGCCTAAAAGATAATAGGGTATATAGGTCCCTAGTCAAGAACGTAAGGAAAAAAACTAAATCTGTAACAATGAAAAGCTGCTACTAGCTCAAATGAAAATGGATGCTTTTCAACAATCTTATACTGAGTCACACATAAATATTTAAAAGCAAAAATAGAAGGTGTGTATCTTAGGGATGTATCTTGGGGATCCCTACTTCAAGCCAAAATGGAGATGCAATTTGTGTGTAGCTCCACTACGAGACAGACTAAAAACAAAAAAAAACCAAATTATTTGTTATTAAAAACAAAACAAATTAGCCACAGAACTTTATAAGTAGTACTACTTATTTAAAAAATGGTTTTATCTCCTACACTAAAGGGATTTTAAAGCAAAAGAAACAAAGATGACTTTCACCTAACAAAGACGACTGCTCATCAAGGATTCATAAACTAACCTGCCTCTGCAGCAGAAGTGATTTACTAATGTTAAGCAAGCTGCAAATAGCAAAGAGAAACCTTGACCTCTTGCTTACCCCTTTGTGTGCTTAAAACACACAAAACCCAGAACTAAAGTACCTTATTCTTTCTTGATGCATAGGAAAAGCTTCTATGGAATGGAATGAGCGTATGTGAAATCTGCTTTAGAAAAACGCAATTTTGTGCTGGAAGAGGAAAACTTGCTTTTCTTCTATTATACCTGGAACTTAAAGCTTCTGAACTAAAAACTAAGTGGGAGCAACCGCTACTGCTGCCATTTAACCATGAACTCTTCGAGCACAAATTTAGGCACGACCTTTTATCAATAGCTAATTTGTTGCATTCATTTTTTACAGCTTTAAAAACTTCAACTTGTGCAGTTCCATCACGTTTTGGGGATCAGAGAGATTGCTACTGTTTGTTTTTTTTTTTTTTTTGTTAAGTCACCAACAATAGCTTTATGTAAGAAGAGGTTTTGTCTGTATTTTACTGATAAAACTGATGCTTAGTATAACTTTGAGTCCTCCAACCTGCTACTACATGACTTGATTAATGTTTGTGCAGGGAAATTAGTACAGGATACAATTCAATGCACTGAATATGGGTTCAAAAATTTGAAGTGATGCATTGAGTACTTATGCCCATTATCGAGATTTTTGCTAATGTCTGCAGCTTACATTCACCACCAAAATACTTCAACAGCAACAAATTAGAGCGTTTAAATCACCTGGTTGTAATGATCATAATCTGATAAAATGTTTGAACATAATTGACTACAGAATATTACATATAGAATATCAAGAAGGAAATAAAACAGACTATATTTTCAGGATGGAGAATTACACAGCCTAGGCTCCTGCTCCACCACAGTAATCAAGGTCCTCAAATTTTTCAAATCTCATGTGTCAAAACTGGACACAGCTATTGGCAGTGAGCAGCAAGATCAGTGCTGAAACCCCGTGTGTAAAGACAGAAGCTTGCAGTTACTGACTGCATTTCTCAGCCTAATGACACAGTCAGAGGTACTAAAATAAAATAAACCTGAGGATACCTTATTGAAGGACTAGTTAATGCAGAGCAGGAAACAGATATTGCTGGAAAGAAAAAGCATTAATAATAGTCCAGTGACTGAAAAACAAATAATAAAGTTATTGGGCTTACAGCAAGTAATCTATGTATCTTAATAAGGGTAAGAGATGAGTTGATTAATATGTACATACACTTATACATGGAGGGGAGGAGTTTCAGTATCAGACAAGAGATTTTGTGTGGAAAACAAGAATTACACAAATTCAGCTTTTAAAACAGATGCAATTGCAAATACTCAGACTCTACTAGATGGAGATTCATCAGAACCAGTGTTAAGACAGAAAAAAAAAACAGACAAAATGACAGTTTTCTTTCAGTTTGTGAGAAAAAAAAAAGTATGTGTATGCTATGCAGGTAGGAGGGTGAGATGGGTATATACCCTCTTTTATATAAGGGCTAAACTAAAGTGGTTTTGAGAGAAAGCAAGCTAAAAGGGACTGATGAAATGAGCTTCATCTGGAGCTGCCATCCTACCATTCTGCATGGCAGAAGCAGCTCCAGCTCATAAGAAAGCCCTTTAGGATCCCTAAAAGGGCAATTGTGATCTCCCCTCTCTCAGCCACATCTCCCACTTTCCCAGGTGTGTGGTACAAGCTTTATGGCTATAATTCACAAGGAAACACACACACACAGCCCCCAGCCCCCCACAAAATAAAGATTAGCTTCTCAACAGCTCTCCACCGACTGAATACAAGCTGTGAATTGCAAAATGGCAACATTACTCATATATCACCACACTGAGGGCTTGAGCACATCACAGTAGACGAAAATCTAGAATTTCATGTTAGCAAAATTACTGTTTTCTCCTCTTAAAAGCTAATATTTTATTTGTATAACTCAAAAAATCCACAGACGCTCCATCCTGCCCTCTCCAGGAGAACAAACACCAACGAGAAGTCATGACCAAATGACACAGGAACCCTAAATAACTGACAATTTACACTGCACTCAAGACTGTCCAACATGCTTCAGTCTCCAGGACAGGCATAACCTTTTAGGTTTAACCTAAAATCTTTTTTTTTTTTTTTTTAATAAATAAAAGATCTTGCCCTTTAGGAAAAAGAAGTTACCTCTACACAAAAGATCTTCAGATCAAGTCCATATAGTTTCATCTTCTCTGGAAAACATTGAAAAACATTCAAATATGGAATATGGCCTTCAACAACAAACCTGCATTAAAAAAAAAGATCAAATCAATATATAGTATTTAACATGACAAAGCCATGTTTATTCTAAAACTACTACATAGAAATATTAATTTCTGATTTAACATCAACATTAAATTGCCTAAGCAATTCTGTCTGAAGTTACACAACCTTAAATGCTCCATTACCACGAAAACCAGCTCAATCATTCAGTAGGCTTTTAAAATGAAGCTCAGGTATGATTGACAAATGATAAGATTATGGCACTGAGCTTACAATCAACACACTTGCATACGGCTTGTTCTGCACATTCTTCATCTATTACATTTTTGAGCTTGTTTAGCCTCCTTACGGTGGTATGAAATTTTTCTTTCAACATCCTTAAAGACAAATTTTAAAAACTTACACACACTTTCCACTGGAGGAGTCAGATAATGGGGTGGGGAGCGAAATCACAGAATTATCAGCATATATGCAAAACTGATGTCCATTAATTTCATTCTGATCAAAATGTGCTATTTTGATCCAAACAGAAGGAATCTGTATACTAATACATACAAAGTAATTTATTTGTACCCAAATAATGCATTTTTATTAAAAATTGGCTTTGCTAAGAGGTATCATGTTTTGCCTTTTTTTTTTTTTGACTTTTTTGTAACGTTTTTGTAAGATAGGATTTAACAACAGCTATCAAAAAGCAAAAACAATCAGAAAAGAAACAAAAAACGCTGTCATGGAAGACACTTGCTCTTATCCAAGATCTTAGCTGAGATTCACATCAGGCAAAGCCAGCACTAAACAGGGGCCATCACAGGGTACTAGTCACTACTCTCACTCCAGAGCGAAGCAGATAAGTGGCCACGTTCCTGCCTCCTCTTCTCCAAAACAATCTTAGTAAAAAACTAAATTAATCTGGAAAAAAATAACACTGACAGAGAAGCCCCTGCTATTTAAATAATGTTAAAGCGTTGAAAACTACTTTCTCTCCTGCACACTATCCCTCCCCTCTCGCTAGGCAGACTGGCAGCTTCTGGGCCTAAAAACTCTGCAAGTCCCTACCGGATTCCTCCAGAGTTTGTAAATTCAAAACACGTTGGGAGAAAAAAGAACAATAATAAATTAGGACGAAGTCTTCATAGCTAACAGTATCCAGTGTTGAGGAATTTCCAGCTCCCTCCTCAGCCTAATGCAGTTACAAACCTGACTTCTGTGTCTCAGGACAGTGCCTCGGCCACACACTTGCTGTATATTGTTTAACATGTATGTATGAAAGTTGCCTAAAAGATTATGCATACGTCCTATATTTGTTTGAAAACATTAACCTAACTGTCTGTTTAAAAATAATAATAATAAAGCACCATTAAAATAAGTACATTCTTACTCAAAACTTCTTCTCCACTAGAATTGACCCAGCATTTACAATGATTTCAGCCATCTGAAAAGATCATTTCACCCAATACCTTTCACTCTGAAGGTCTGTGCAAGAAAGGATCTTGCAGAGCAATTTTGTAGGAGACAGAGATGTACATTTTTGTTAGTAGTTTCCTTAAACAGGAAACAGCCACCCCCCATCCCCGCACTGTTTCGTGTATTTGGCCAGTTAACAGCCAGAGGCAGCAGCAGCTGCCCTCCTACCACACTTGCTGGCAGAGCAGCTTGTACAGCAGTTCCATGGCTCCTTTTAGGCAATATCAGCTGTGACAAATTAACTTAAACTGGAGGTATGTTTTCATAAAAAGCATTAAATCAGCTTAAAAGCCTGATATAATTTGGCTTATTTCCCTCCTACTCTTCTCCTGGTCTGGCTGTGCGCTCTTCATACCATCCTCTCCCACAAATCAATGTAACTCACAATACAGAAGGCTGTCTTAGAAAGAGAAAGGGCTGTTTCCTGTCATTTTAACAAACGAATGGATCACAGAAGGATCTAACGGGCTGGAGGTGGCAGAGGGGATGCTCCACACGGCCAAGAGGATGGAGAAAGGGAAGCCAGACCTTCCCGCTCCAGCAGCGCCGCCGTCCCAGCGCAGGTGGCTGTGAGCTCTGTTTCGGGGCAACCACACAAGCCATTCGGCGCCACATCTGAAGAGCTGGCACCGAGAAGCTGAGAGTCACAACCCCCTGAGCCAGCACAGCAACAGCTGGAAGAGGACAAATAACAAGGACCGCAGGGTGTGGTGGTGCTGGCAGCTAAGCCAGGAGCTGCGCGGGAAACCCCAGCCCCGCTGCCCTCCTCTGCCACAAGCTCTGGTCTCCTCCCTTGCTGACAAAAGCACCCGGGTGACTTCTCAGCCAGAAGATTAGATTGAACCCTGCCCTTTTGTTTTCCACAGTTTGTTTTCAACCAGATAGATTTCCAGACTCAGCTGACTGCAAGGACACTGCTGGCACAAGGTGGAAAGGGCAAAGCAAATCAGGCTGCAACACTCTTTTTTTGAAGGCATTAATCTTTTGCAACATTCATTTCCTGCCAATATACTTCTTTTTGACTAATTAATGGCAGATAAGTGCTTGTGCCCAGAGCAAGAGAAAGGGCAGGAACACATATGGGGGATCCCGGCAGCACAGCCTCAGATCACCTTGAACGCAGCACAGAACCACCTGCAACGGAGCATCCTGCAGGCAGTGCCCCTAGAAAACAAGTGGGTTTCCACCAACTTGGCTGTACCAAGTCAAAGCATTCCACATGCTCAAAAATATAAATAAATCCCAACAATGACATCGTCCCTAGCCTGAAATTACTGTCTCCATACATATACACACACATATATATATATATATATAAGTGTTCTTTTCTGACATGTGAAAGTTGCTTTTATATTCTAAAAAATATACAGAACATTATGAACGCTATTATGAATAAATTGTGCTGATGATTCAATTTAATACTTACTCCTCAAATCCCAGATTTGGAATATCTTCATCAAACAGTTTGCTGATTCTCCCAAACCCTCCACTGACCTGACAGATGATCAAAAAACCATCTAAGACTATGCAGTATCTCTGAAGCCCTCAAGAGGCAGATAAGGCACACAGTCCATATTCTTTTAATTATGGCAGCAACACACATTAATCAGGCTCAAGTATGAAAAAAACCTTAGTCCCCTACACACTACAAGGAAATGATGCATATGTTAAAGCCACACAGCAGTGTCACAAACTGATTACAAGTTTAGTCTTGCCAGCATAGTCAGGTATCACCTCATTTGGAAGGTATTAGTTCACAGCCTACCAAGCCTAGCATCTTGGAACATTTTCCACAAACCAAGTTTTATTATTTAGGTAAATAATATACAGCATACTAAATATCACTGAGCTTCTTCACAGTGGGAAAAGATTTAATGCATTACGTAGACTTGAGTAGCAGGTTGCTGAAAATGTTATTTTTAAAACAAAACATCCCTTTCAGATGAGCTAATTGTAGTGTTTTCTGCAAAGTGTGTCAAACAGCAAGGAGGAGTATATTTTTGGTGTTGTAAATCCTTTAAGCGCTGGCAGGTTGCCCTACCCCAGTGCCTAAGCATGTATCACAAGGGAGGAGCAGCAGTCAGCTGACTTCAGGGTAGGGAGAAAACCAAACCAAGGGAAAAACAAGGCAGAACTTTAAGCACAATTGTAATTCAGGCAGTTTAAATAATACAATTTGCCTGTAAGGACTAAAGAGGTAATGCTGAATATTTATTATTTTCTCTGCATAGTTTTCATCCCTGGCCTGTCGCTATTTTGATCTATGTATCTTAACACATGCAAAAAAATGGCAGCGCTGTCTGATTTTTAAACTTAAATATTCAGAAGTTAGAAAACAAGGGTTTTAGAGTAGTTCATGCAACTTTTTTTCTTTCTCCTTCTTCATCAAACTTGTGAGAGGCACAGACCTCAAGGGGAGGGAGGGAAGCATGATAATGTAATGACAGTCCCATATAACTTTTCGCATCATTGTAAAAACTTTGCATACAAATGATATTTTTTCGAACAGCACTTTCTGCATTTAATCAGTTCATATGCTCAGCACATTCATTTAAAGCCACTGGATCATTCTGATCCCCCACTAATTTCACCCACTTATACAATATTGAACCCATAAATTGTATCCCATAAATAAATGTGATAAACTCTGAATAAGTCAGCATGAAGGAAGTTCTCCAGGTTCCAAATCATCCTTTTTTTTTTCTTTTTTTTTGCATCGCACAATTCTAAAATCCTGAATGCAGCAATATATCATTAATATTCAATGAACACAATGCTGCTCATTACTATCATGTTTATATTACTGAGGTCTTTGATAACATGGTGCTGTAGTCAAAAAGAAAAGTTCAGTTTCCATGATACAGCAATCCAAGAACAGGTTAATACGTTATGCATTTTTCTCTTCAAATAGGATGGGCTAAGCAAGAAGTCTTTATTACTGTGCACCATTTACTCTGACCCAATATCTGTGAATTACTACTTTGAATTTTGCCATATATAAACATTATCAAATATGATTTATTTTCTAATAATTGATAAAAATACAGAGTAGACTGTGGTAGTTCTAGTTCCTGCATTCCTTAGGAATGCATTAATCAACAATAAATCTCGTAATAGCAAACTGCTTTTGAGTTCTAGCACTTCTTATCGACTCAGTATCTACTTTCATATTGCAGGGTGTTAGCTTGAGCTTCAAATGATGAAACATTTTATGCTAAACATTTTATAAGTAGCAGGTATGCAACAAAAGCCAAGTATCCAAGTATGTAACGCTGCAGTTCTGACTGATGAACACAGTGGCAGTCCCCTAAAGGGTTAATTTTTTTTTTCCCATAGAAAATGACAGTTATGACAGTTAACTGCTACCTTCAAGACATAAAATACTCCCCCTTCTTAAAAAGTACTTGGAAAAACAGAGTCTTCAATATCCACCATTCTCAGAAAATCTGCCCAAAGTGGGAGGATGAAAAAAAGGGCTCCACAAGCAGAGAGGCCATTAGGGAAAAAGAGGCTTTGGGGTAAACTTCCCTTACATTAGCCATAGATTCAGCAGCAATACCAGTTATATGCACCTTGGGGGAGGAAGATGCAACTGTTGCCTTGTTTGTTTTTAAAAGGAACTGAAATCTATCATGTCAACTGAATCTAGAATCCCTGTTTCTTTTATTTTGTCCAAGTTTGACTTTCTGACTGTAGCCAACTTAGAGTTACTTAAGCCTTTCTATTCCTTAAATTTGGGAGGAGGGGACAGGGGATTTTTCCCCCTCTTTTAGAACTACCCACTATTTTAACATCTGTTAAAAAGAAGTATCCATACACAGAAGGTGTTTCAAGTTCTCAAAAAGCAATTGCACAAAATTTTCTGTCACAGAAAAGGCAACTAACTACACAGGTCACCTCATTATTCCTGAGCACATTACTAAGAAAACAAAGATAAAGATACAATTAAAAACCACATCTATTATTTATAAAAACAACAAATAGATATAGACCAGAAGCAATTCATACCTTAAGAGATCAGATAACGTCATTGATTCTCTCAGCCAGAGTAATGCCATGTAACAAAATGAAAGGGTCATTGGCATCGACATCCTCAGTTTGTCCTTCTGGTTCTTCATGAAGTGCAAGCTACCGTCCACCGATCCCGAGCAGACAGAGGTGCTTTCTTCAATTTATATTAAAAACAAAGAAAAAAGATACCCAATATGACATACATATGATACCTAACACAAAGAAAATAATACAAAGGAACGTACGGGGATGCTTGTTTAGCCACTAGAAAAATTTTCAAATCACTACCTCAGGTATTAAATCACAAATCACTACTTCAGTGTGTTAGATAGTTTAACTTTTCAATTTATTCTTCTACCAAGATGTACGACAACTAATTCATGAACTGCTACTTTGCTTGACTGGGGTCCTGGATTACACAAAGAGGCAAAGCACACTCTGGAACCTAACTAAACAGATCTTTCAATGCGATTTAGCCTTAAGCCTGGAATCCTAGAAAGCTGTTAATTCCTATACAACACAAAACCAACAGCAGTTATGACCTGCAAATGCTATTTTATATTTGAGAGATAAAGGAGCAGGCAGGGAGGAAACAAGGAGAAAAAAAAATCATATCTCAGAGTTGAGGATTAAAGCACCAAATTTAAAAGTTTCCGAGCACTGAGTTTTAAACTACAGTACAGTAACAGAACTATAAAGAGAACATGATTTATACTGTTGAAATGTGACTTATGTGCGGATACTGTATAGCCATCTCCCATATATTCTCTAATTATGAAAAGGTATGCATTATTTTAAAAAGTCTAAACTCAAACACCTTCAAAATACAAACGTGGCAAATGGTAGTAATGTGGGTGATAAGAAAAAGTACCAGCCTATTCCCTTACTGAAACAAATCACTAAAAACTGAGAGAAGCAGAAATAAAAAGTTTTATAAAGAGAAGTGATGGAAGAGTTAGGAACCTTTTCAAGCAGCAAAACCTCGGAGGTCAGGGAAGGAAAAAGTCTCCCTTCCGTACATCATGAACCAGGACAAAATAAGACACTCGGTACACCAGTGCCAAACACCAGCAGAAGCTTCCACAGAAGCTTTCTCACTCTCTTTAGCCAGCTGCTATTCGAACACAGAGGCCTAAATTCCCAGCTGGAAGTTACAGTCCATATTTACATTTTATTATAAAAATAAAGCTGCAGCTCAGAGTCCAGCGGGTCTGTGGTTGTGCTGACCCAGGGGTGAGAGATCTGGCACCCACTGGCCCCCAGTGTCAAGACATGGCTACAAATATTGATTTTCTGAGCCACAATTGGTCTTTGATGCCACCTACTGGCTTCAGAAACGCCCAGGACTAGGGACACAGCAAGAAAATAAAGGAACCAATTCAATCATATATCTGGTACAGACTAAAAGCGGTCTAAAAAGGAGCATCCTAGAATGGCTACAGCCTACAGGGGCGTTGGAGAATAAAAGCAGTTAATCCTTTCCATCAACAGTTTCACCTTTTATATGTATACAAGTGTTTAAAGGCAGCTTCACGACTGAAGCTTCATTATTATAATTTCACATTCAATCCCATTTAAAATAACCCTCATTATATTTTGTGGCTTAATGATGGCATGCAATTTCCCTTACTTCTTCCAGCTTATTCAAGGCATGACAACACACAATTACACACATCTAACAATTAAAATTGTTTCATAGGCTTCTCCAGCAATATCTCCATGCTATACTCAGGAGAATTTTCTATCATCCCTACCCAAAAATAACAAAACGATTGCACATTAGAAAAGCCTCTTAGTAGGGAAAAGAATAAAGATGTTACAGTTTCCTTTGTCTAGCAACAACAACTCAGTAAAAATGGCACAGAAAAGGAAATCTATGAATCCTCACAGTAATTTACAGTTGACTAAAATATCAATCCAATTTTACTTGTGTTTAATTTCGCTATACAACACAATTGCTATTTTTGTCTAATTCCTCCAAAATGTGCTTTTGCTGTCACTGAGCTCTCACTTATTTAAGGATTTTTAGTGAAATAGGTATGACTACTTAAAGCTGAATTTCATTCCTGCAACAAAAGACTAAGAAAAATATGTTGAATTACTTCCTATCTTAAAACTACTCTAATACGCTTAGAAATATAACTATAAAATGCAAACAAGTACAAAGAAAGAAAGAGGTTGCTATAGACTTCAAAAAGGAAAAAAAGAAAGTGGGGTATTTTCACTATTTTTTCACTAAATTCTTTCTGCTTGACATGTATTTGCATAAAACCCAAGTACTGATACGTATATGAACATACAGCAAGACTGATACGCATATGAACATACAGCAATCCTTCACCTGAAAATCTTGTCATTTTAGTTTAATAATATACAGAATAAAAGTCCTTGCATCATATTTGCAGAAATGTGTGTCTCCATTCTTTTTTTTTTTATCTTTTTCCTTACTCCAGTCACAGGTCAAGCTCTTCCACTTCACACTACATTTAAAATATATGTAACTACACAAAAATGGTTTCCAGATATTTCATTTTATTGCCCCTACCTGAAACTTTGCCAGTTGATGAGCCCAAGCTGCAGTCAGTGAGTGGATCCCCATCACTTTCAGAGAGAGATAACAAGTGAAGAAGACTAGGCCTCTCTGGTTCACTGTCCATATCTGTACTGCTCTCGCATCCCTGTTTTGCGTAAATAGTCACAGTAATATCTAGTGTTATTTACTGCTTTAATCTGAGAAACCAAATAAAGTGTGATAAGTGTAAGATCTACCATCTGTGAAGCTTAAATCGGATCTGTCCACATTTTAACATGTTCTATCATTCATCGGTAGCCTAAAAAGTCTTGCAAAATATATACTTATTTTTAAAAATTTCTGAAGATGAGAAAGATTCCCAGTGTTCATGTTGCATTTCTGCTATAGTAACCAGAAAGCAAACAATATACAAAATAAAACTATGATGAAAACCTGAGGAGAGGTTTTACCTGAGGGGTAAATGATGGTAGCTGATGACACATCTTGTATTATAATTTCTGCTCTATCTACTCATAGAGCAGTATGGTTTACCTATGCCAGAACAAAGCAGTATCTTTAAATTAGCAATTTCCCATACTCCGAGAAGTATATTTTTTTCTTAAAAATGGGAAAAAAACCCAAAATAGATATTTGTAATCCAGTTCAGGTAAGATTCTTTGTGCTGAAGCAACATTAGTGCAAATTACATATATAGCTTGAAAAAAAAAAAAGGTTTTCCACTACTGCAGTTTAAAAAAATATGCAGCTGTTCAAAGGACTTGGACCTTTCACTTACTGATAGTACTTTGATAGATTCCCCAGCTGGTCTGTTACAATATGCTTGTTGGCTCTTCTGAAGGTAACGCCTCCAAAAATTGCACAGAATTTCATCCTGTCAAGTATAAATAGACAACTATTAGCGTGAAGTACACAAGTTCATTAATTTCTGAGAAGAGAGACTGTAATTTACAATTCAGGAATCTGAAAAATGTTCTGGCTCCCATTTTATTAACTGTGATTTATAAGCTATATTTAAAGTTACCAGGGAAACTAAGTTTGTTTGCATATGCTCAGTGCTTTTAAGCAGGGACTTATTTGACCCACTTAAAAAAATCACAATCTTTTAAAATAACCCTCGCTGTTACTCACTCACAGTGTGTAGACCTTACCCTGATTTCTACATACCTTCATTTGTGGACATACTCCTAATGCTTCCAAAGCTTCTGCTTGTTTCCTGAGTACAAACTGAAAGCCTTCACAAACATACCATTCCAAACCTTCATCTACGAAAAAGAACACAAAGATTGTTTTTTAACATCATATGCTAAAATTATGTTAATATTTCATTAATAATATTATGTTACATAATATTTAACAAAAATATTTTTTCCACATAATATTCTGTTGTCTTAGCACCAGGCCTAAGATGTAGCTCTGTATTTAATAATTGCAGGCCCTGGACCAGCTCCAGTATGCTAAACACTCCAGTAACTTTAGTTTATTTGTACTCTTAAAGAAGAATAAAACTATTGAACAAAAGGCGTTCTGCACACATCTTCCAAGAACAATGTATTTCACTATAATTTCTAATATGGCACTTGTAATCCAGTGGACTAAAATGAAGAATTTAAAAATCACTAAAAATCTATCAAAAAAAAAAAAGGTATTATCATTTCTGTCCCATCCCCAACACAGAAAACTGGAACACATTAAAGTTGTGAGACAGGCAAAAAAATACAAATAACCAAAAAACATAGTATCACCATGTTGTTTATCATTCTCTCCCACAGAATCACACAAACTTAAATGAAAGAGACCTTCTCAGACACCCAGAGCTTCTAGCAAAGTTCAGCACAGTGTGAATCCCATGCAGAACAGGCCTGCTCTGTATGGGCCTGGTGCACATGCTCTTCACCTTTAGCTCTCCATAAAGACAGCTTCTCTCCAGAGGTTTTTTGGTCTCACAAATTTTCTCTGCATTTCTTGACCTCCTTTTCATTTTCCCCATACCTATACTTCCTTATGCTGCCCTCCAATTTAAAGCAGTAAATACATAAGACATCCTCCTTCTTTACCATGTATTTAAAGTGACAGCTTTAGCAACTCCCCTTCCTCACCATCTTAAAACCTCTCTGCCCCAAGTTTCTGAATGATGTTGGCTTTTTCTGTTTGCTGCAGGTCTCACTCTTACACATGCAGGAAAACTAAGCTGCAAGAGTATAATGTTAACAGCAGTTACATAAAGGACTGTACAAAGCTATGGATTCTTTCCGTAGGAAGTTTGGGGGGTACCTAATGACCTCTCTCATAGCAGTAAAAAAGCACGAAATGGTTCAAAGCTCCGACTTTAGGAGCAAGAGCGGATAAAGACAGACAGAGCTGTTAAAGTTGTTGCCCTTCCCACTCCCCGCTTCACCTCCGCACAACAGCCCTTTCCAAAGGAGTGCAGTAATCCACTGTCATGACATCCCAGGGAGGATGTGTCAGCCTATCACAGAGGCCAAGGCATCCCCACGCTTTGTTTCGCACTGTAAGTTATTTTTGCTTTTTCAAGGGAAGTGACCACAACACTAAAGCATCTATCCAGCTGTCCCAGTACACATAGTTTCAGCAGCAGCCCTACCATAACATCCTTACAGCCATATTATCATATGTAAAGACTACTATTCTTCTGAATCATGACATAAAAAGCATGGAAGGAACTCTGGGTGAAAGATGTGACATTTAACAACATCACTTTAGCTACTCTAACTGTATGAAGTCTCTTACACATAGCTTTGTGTGTAGGTTACAGGGCCAAGTAGCTGTAACACGAGCCAGACTTAGACTCGAAAAGCCGGACCACTGTTACACCTCACCTACAAACACAGACAACTTTACTGTTTACAGTCACCACAAGGAGGAAATCGAGGGATCACCACAATGAAATGAATGCCACAGGTCTCATCAGAGAGTATAGGCTCACACAAATCTACTTGACAAAAGTTAACATGCAATGTGTTCAACGGAAAAATCACCCAGGCCCCAGAGGCCATGTGCTGTTCCGGAAGTCACCACTGGTTGGATTGCTGAGGGTGCTGCCGGTGTTGGCAGGGTTGTCCTGTGTTCCTGTTCTTACAGTCTGTCCTATCTACTTCTGGCTGAGACATAATTTACTAGCTGAACCTTTGATCTGATCCACTACAGCTGTTCTTACGCAAAAAAAAGAGGAGAAGCATATACATACCATTTTTTTCCTGCTTTCTTAAGCCTTTGGAGATCGTCTGGATTCTTGTGTTCAAAGTAAGGGCACTATTTACAACTTCTCTAGTTCTCTGCAAAACAGTAATGTATCTCAGCAAGGAAAAGGGCAGGCCTAACTTGCACAGAGTGCATCATAAAACATATGCATATGCACCTCATAAAACAAGGAATTTGTTCAATCACAGAACGAAAAAACACAGTAATTCAAAAAAACAAAATGATCTCAACCTTCTATCTAGGAAAAGCAAAAATAGAGAACTAACATCCTGACCAGACAGGTGACGTGCATCAGTTTGTCTCCATAAGCATTGCCATGAAGTTCAGCACTTTGCTATTAAACTAGGTATTAAAAGCTAGTGCATTTTAAAGTGAGTTTTATGAAATTGGTGCTAAATGCTCTGATTTGAAACAACAGTAGTTTTAAACAGCAGTAGGTAAAGCATGAAAATGGAAGATTTGCAATACTACCTTCAGTCTCTAATGCGAAGGAGAAAAATGAAATGTTTTCATAAAAACAAGACACAGCTAAAGAGAAATTCCGTTCCCAAACACAGTAGAGCTTGGCTTTTTACCTCTGTAACATTGTGGCAAGTTCTGCAATAAAATCTGCCTCCATCAGTAAGACCCCAGTTTACTTCTGAGCACTGTACACAACGCTCATGATAATCTTCCTAAAATAAAAATAAATAAATAAAAAGTTTTACATGTGTTCAACTAGAGCAAACAACACTACTCCTGAGCTACTGCACAGCTTTGGGGATTATTTACTGAACAGAGAATTTCTGCCCTTTACATTAGCTATAATCAGATAACGAATGATCAGACCATTCACTATCAGCTACAGATAAGAGAACAAGCAAGTTTTCACCTCCCAAGCACTGAATTTTGCATACGCGAGCACAAAGGCAACAACAACCTATGCCTGGAGTAGGCAGCGTGAGAATAAAAGGCAGAAAAAGGGGAGAGGATGGAAAAGTAGAGGTGGGAAAAGGAAGCAAAGCGCTTCTGGCACGGGCAGCTAACGCAGTGGCAAAAAGCCGGGCGAGCCCGCGAGCAGGAGGGAGGTTACGGGGAAGCCAGGAGGGGAGACGCTGGCTAAGGCCGCCCAGGCACGCGGGGCCGGGAGGGGGCAGCTGACTTCGGGGCCGCGCGGGCTGCGGCTCCGAGGGCGGCCCCGGCCGG